AAACGAATAAATTAAACGTAATCAAAGTAAAGAATGACTACAGCGCCTTGGTCAGGAAATCAAGTAATGCAATCGAAAGACTCCAAAAATAACAGGCACGGCAACACAGACTTAAGCTTATCGGTGAATGACTATAGAACTTGATTTTCCTTGTTTACAAAAGGATGTGATCTGCGACAATTTCCCAAACACCTCACGGAAAGCAACATTTGCACCGAGTTTTTCCTCAGACCTGTGAACAATCATTGAACAAGTGAGTAACAATTTAGTTAGAAGTAAACCCAACAGGATTCGTTAGAAACATAATACCTTTATCCAGTCCACATCTCAACAGTATGGGACTCATCCACCACAACTGCGGCCAATTTTCTGTCAAGAGAAGAGCAGTTATCTTTCAAAATGTCGAGGAATCGTTTCTCCATAACTGTCTCAGCCAAACCGAAATTTTGCGGCACTCAGCCGAAATTTTGCGGCACGCAACTCGTCTTCCGAGATATCCTCTGTGGAAGCCGCCGAGATACCAATACTTCCGGCCTCAGCAATTTGGTCTTCAGTGATGCTTTTCAAAGCACAAATAACCAACACAGTTTGCCGCTCTTCCCCTTCAATCGACACAGCAACAGCAAAGAGTTGGAAAATAAGACTTTTGCCGTATCCTGTCGGAAGAACCGCGAGCACATCATCTCTCTTTAGTAAATAGTCCACAGCATTACGCTGTTCGGGCTTCAACTGCAGCGTAAACTTCAAATTATTTGATAAATGGTCACAAGCCTCGCGAAGAACAGTATCCCTCCTTTCCGCCATTTTAATTTTTTTGTCTCTACCGGAACTGAAAACTAAGACTGCGTCATGAAAAATTAAAATCAACCAATCAGCGCTTTGCGTCCAAATTTTGGACGCAGACATTCAATATTCTGAGACTTGCGTGCAGGCTCCCCTTCCTGTGTCCTCACGAACGGGGAGCCTGTTCGCAGGCTACAGTTGATCGCTCATGCGTCAAGTTATTTCTTTTCTCGACTGTTTTGCTTAATGACATCTCTAAAGATGGGTTTTACAGTTGTTCAATGGGAAAACGAGAATAGTGTGAGTGTTGCTATGAAAAGCAAGTCGTTGGCGCCGTGTAGTTAAAAGAAGGGACAACGTACAAATTATCAACTGGCCGCTACAAGGGTCGAGCGGCCATTTATAAAGCTATGGATTCTGAAAGTTTGTGGTGAGTACAAATTGTGATATTTGGTACGTGATTAAACCTGAGAATCGAATCGGTCAGTTGCATGCCACAGTTTCTTTAGCTTACGCTTTACAATGAAATAAATCTATCAGTGAGCTAAAGGTTTCGGGATTATTTTGGTCACGTTTGGCAAGCTGTGAGCCCTGCAGAAAAAGACAAACAGGGATAACTTCCTTGAACTAATTAATTACAGTTACAACAAGAATTTAATTAAAAAATCAATTATTTAACTGTAATTAAGCCCTTCTCTCCCAAGAGTGTTCAGTCAAAATTGAGAAGAAATCTCTGAATTTCAACTTGCAGAATCTACAGAAACAAACAGCAGAGCATGAAGATGCTGCTTGACAGCTTACATTTGAATTTTAACACACAAGAGTTTTATCCAAAGAAGTTACAACCACATTAACTTAAGTCAACTAAGAATTAAATTAAGATACAAGCCTGACTCAGGGAGGAAAGGATAAAATATTTGTATCATCATCCCAAATGAAATGATTCCTTAAAGACTATTTTTTGCCTGATAGTTATTAGTATTTATTGCACTAAACATAACCCAAGCTATTGCATTTCATGAGAAAGAATCAACAGATTTTATTCACAATATGTGTCAAACCAAATTTACTGATTCACTAGAACTATTTTAAATGAAAAGCTATAATTGAGGATAACTTTTGGAAAGTTTTTAAGAAAAGAAGAAGAAATTTCATCCTAATATTACTACATGTTGATGTTAATATAATATACAACAGCAAAATAATAATTAACATGTGAACCTGAGTTATAATAATAATAATATTAATGATATATAGCTTATATAGCGCAATGATTCTCAAAGATCCAGTGGCACTTTACAATGATAGTGAAAGAAAAATTTAGTCAATTAATGATTAAAGTGAAATAAAAGAATAGTGAAAAATCAATGAAAGCAAAATCTACAACTGCCTAAATAAATGGGTTTTAAGTTTAGACTTAAAAGTTGTCAAAAGGTCTACTTCTCAAATATCATCCAGCAAGGCGTTCCACAGAGTAGCAGCTCCATGAGAGAACGCTCTATATTCATATGTTTTAAGATTGCATTTCGGTATCATTAAGAGATTTTTCTTTGAAGATCTTAGGTTTCTATTAGGAATGTACGGTCTTAACAGTTCACTAAGATACAGAGGACTCAGACCATTTAACACTTTAAAATGAGAAGAAGTATCTTAAAATCAATATGGGCAGACACAGGCAGCCAATGGAGGCTTCTAAGTATAGGTGTAATGTGATCATATCTGCTAGTGGCTGTGACCAGGCGGGCAGCTGAATTTTGTACATGTTGTAATCTATTAATTTATGACTGCTGTAGGCCAGATAGAAGAACGTTACAATAATCCAACTTTGACGAAATAATGGCATGAATAAGTATTTCACACTGACGGTGCATGTAAATAAATTTCATTGACAACTTGAATTTTTAGTTGGAAGTTAATGCATGTGTATATTTGATATTAGTTGCCTTGAAGTTTTCCTAAAGTTCCTAGTAATTCTTAAACGTTGCTAGAAATTCCTAAAAATTCCTAGGAATTTCCAGCAAGTTTTTAGATTCACAGTATTTCAGGGAAGTCATTGGTGCTCTGAGTTGGAATTCCTGAGAATTTGTAGGAATATTCCATGGAATTCTCAGGAATTCCTTGAAATTCCAAGTCCTGTTGGCTATAAACATGGAGTTTTTGGGAATCTCTAGGTTTTTTGAGAAATTTCTAGGTTTTTTTGGAAATTCCAAGATCCAGTTTGCAAGGGAAGTAAACTTTAAGTATACTGCCATTCATTCATAATATCTTGAATACATTCTAAGTATACTTAAAGTATACTTTAAGTATACTGTACTGGTCAGTTTTCCACTAGTGGTTTTACTCGTGAGGTATATGCTTGAAGTGCACTGCAAAATTATCAGTACCTTTCAAGTATACTTCAAGTATACTTTAGGGTGTTCCAATTTCAGGTGGAAACAAGTATATTACAAGTCTACTGAAAGTATACTTTGTGTATCTTTTTTGCAGTACACTTTGATTACAGAAGTAGTATACTAAAAGTGTACTTAATTTCGGTAAGGGTCATGTTATCGTTGTTTTTGGTTATCCTTTAGTCCTTCAGGAGTATCTACTCATTGAAAAAATGTTTATTCACTCTGAGTGAGTGATGATGTAATCATGATATCAATTCTTGATTTTTTTGCTTTATTCAAATATTTCTTCAGCAAGTCAGTCAAAAAGTTAATGACCATTGATCATTCTTTTCAGGAGAAATGAACATTTAAAATACATATATCTTAGCTCCTTTTAACTATTTGTGGCCTCTCCAAATACTGAATTTTCCTGTGCCTAAAATCACACAGCAAATACCTGTCAATATTCTTGACAATTGCAGTCATGCCTGTGAAAGTGATAACAGGTTGACCCTATATACATTCAGCACAATGCTATTTGAAAGCAGTGAAATCAATTTCTAGAAGTAGTAGCTGATTATGCTCAGAAGGTATATCAGCTGTGGTTTGTTTGTCACTTTTTGGTTCTTAATTACCACATTTAACGTCATCTGTGATCTATTACTAAACCGACGCACAGGGACAAAATTTTTGCTGTGAGGAATGCAGACAGAAGTTGGTTACAGTTTACTCATAATATGTCAATTGGTACACTGTAACCACCTTGACTGAAACAAAACACCATAGCGCATTGAAAATTTTACCCGGAAAATTGTATCTCCACTGGATTTCCTGATATGAATCAAGGCATCCTTTGTTCTAAAAAGTTGTTTGTGCCCCAAACAAAAGGATGCAATCTAGATGACAGGAGCTCATCACTCTCTTTTAAACTATGGCAATGATAAGGATAACTTTAGTGCTTTTTTAGTCAAGTCCATTTACAAAATGAAATTGATTGTGACATTTCATGCCTTCTTTCAGACTGCTGAACAAGACTCAGGGAATCTCTGACAAATCTCCCTTCATGATTCAATGAAGACACTTAATCAATAAATCAAATTACTACATGTGCACCCCTTGCATCTAAAGAGCAGAAAAAATTGACTGCTGACCTCAGGGCATATTTGGTTGGTAAGCTAATCATTGGTTATCTGCCTCTCACTTTTGAACAATTAAATTGGTTATATTTTTCACACACGAGAAAAAAAACTATAAGAAAGTTAATTTTTTGTGCCCAAGAAATTCCTATTGTCTCAGTCTTGTTATATTAAAGATTGATTCATTAATTATCATTGTGGTTGCACATCTTTAAGATTCAGTTTAGAAGTTCTCGAGTTTTTCACTGCTATCATTTAAATTTTTTCTCTACCTATAACAACCTTTTCCTTAATTTTCTGATTTATTCCTTCCTCGTCCAAAGCCAGCTTTCCAATATCTGTGGGGCTGTTCATCTTCATGGCCCATTCGACTAGTAATATTTCCTGAAAAAATAACAGTGCAGTATGTGTCAGCAAACATCACAGTGCAATTTGATATCGTCAGGCCTACTTTGGGACCTTTTGAAAGTCGGCTTAAATCGCCTCATGTTGGCTTAGGCTGCCTTTAGTTGCCTTTGGTAATGCAATGATATAACGGTTCCACCCTTTTAAATTGACCCCATTCACTCCACTCCAATCAAAAGGAGCAAAGGAGAAAGGGTGGCCAATACAACTCAATAACCTTTATTTAACGTGGTCAAATGTTCTTAGCTAATTAGCAACTTTACAGACACACCACAAAAAATAAACAGATAAGCTAGAAATAATGATAGGTGCACTGGATTCTAGATTAAGCAGTCCAGTATTGGTCTCTAGCAGGGATCATTGCATTGTGGTCTTAGGCAAGACACTTAACTGTCTGAGTGCTTCGACCTTCAACTCTTCCAATTGTAAAATAATATAGAAATAATATTTGGTGAACTGTATTCTAGATTAGGCAGTCCAGTTTTGGTCCCTAGCAGGGATCATTGCATTTTGTTCTTTGTGACTTAACTGTCAAAGTGCTTCAACTTTGAACTCTTCCAGATGTAAATATGGGTACTGGTTGGGAGAGGGGAGAAGGACCCCACAATGAATTACGAGTTAATATGAAGTTAGCAATTAATGGCTTCCATATGCATGGAAACCCATGCTATAATAGTCATACACCTGTCTAGCCCCTGTGTTAGGATGAGAAATTCATACAAAAGGTTGATGTATATGTCCATATAGAGATTGAGGTTCTATAAAAGATACACGATCCTCAACTTCCAACATCATATTGTACCAAACTTTGAACTCTGTAACTCAATAAACACACAAAACGCATAAACCTTGATCTACCTTAAGATTTTGAGAGTCTTTTTTTACATTTCATCTTCATCTCGAGTTCCATGATTAAAATACACGTGTGAGCCCCAACTTAATGATCTTCTATACTGAAGAAACTTTTAAACAACAAACACGTCTGCGAAGTAAATATTTTATCACATGACCTAGTTTTGTCCCGTGACTAAAGTATACCCGTGAACATTGTGCACGTGCCTTCACAAACTACACTACTTGTCAACAATATCAAGAGATTTGGAGGAACTGTGAGCGACTGCTTTAATGAAATTACACCACTCACGTTCTTTTCCCTCATGGAGTAGATTGTAATTCTGACCTGCAATCTTTCCAATCCCCCCTTGAGAAACAATTAATAGCCCGCCCAATGTCTATTGACTGGCTACCTGCTTGTATAGGAGGTCGGCTAGAAAGACACTAAAAAGGGGAAATGCTGCCATATAACAGATAGTATGGACAAACTTGATGGGAGAGCTTGAATTTTCGCAGTCTGAGTTGAGAGAAGGGAAGCCCATGAGGTCTCCAGGTATAACAATAATTCGTGTGAGCTAAATGAGCTATGAGGATAATTATTTTAGATCAGTTCAAGTGCTTGTATGGTTATTTTCTTCATTTCGATTAGCCTAAAGGTAATGAGTGCTGTTTAACCTCTAATACTGCCACCAGCTCAAACAAAACTTATTTAATTTTTCTAAGGTTAAATGCTGCGGGGTGGAAACAAGTAAATGCTTGGAAGACTTGGAAGGTCCTGGTGATCCAATAAACGGTAGTAAAAAGATCTTCTGAAAAATTCGATTCTTGATATAATAACTAGGACGTCAAAATTTTTCCCAAGCCAGGAAAAGTAATTGGAGAGACTGGAAAAGAAGTCTTTGCACAAATTATGGCGGATGCTTGCCCCTCTATATGAAATTCGGATTGATTAACCTTCTCCTAGGGTTTTCCCCAAACAAGTGGAAAGCCATACTAAAGAGCTCTAAGCTGGGTACAAGATCAAGTTCTTTTCTCAAATGTCTCTGAGAGTAAATCCTTCAGATAACTAGGAAGTAAAAAGATTACTTACTTGGAAAGTTAGTCTTGGGGAATTCTTTCGGATGGCGTTCTATAAAATCTAATATGCCGTTTTTGTCTCCCATCCAATCTATTGTTAGGTTAAGTGCTTTGCTCATTGACAGTCCCTCTTGCATTTCTTGTATTGCCCTGTCTTGCTTTCCCATTTTGTCATGCAAGATAGCCAACGCAGTCTTTATCCAGACTTTCCATCTGTGAATTCCTTCTATTTCTCGGTTTGCAACTTGTTGTGCCTTTGTAAGTAAGTCCATTGCCCCTTTAAAGTGGTGCCTTTTCATGTGACACATGCCAAAGTTCTTTAAAGTCAAAATAACTTCTTTGCTACCTCCTGCTCCGAGTTCCTCAAGCATTTCCACGGCTTTTTGATAATACTCAAGAGATTTGTCTGAGTACTGTCCAGTTTTCCCCTCCAGATAAAAATAACTATCTGCAATGGCCTTTAAAGTTTCAGCAGTCATGAAGTGTGTGCCAAGGCAATCCTGAAAGATTATCAAAGCCTTCCTGAGCTGTTGTTCAGATTTCTCGGGCTTTTTACTGCGCTTTGCGATGATTCCTGAGAGATAGAGAGTTGCTGCTGTCTCTGGATGCATTTTCCCCAGTCTCTCGTAGGAGACCTTTAAAGCCATTTCAGTCTCTTCTTCCCTCTTTTCATTTTTGCTTGGATCTTTTTTATCCGAAAAGAATCGAGCATAACTGTTGTGAAAGTAGACTTCAGATAATGGATATGTTTGGAATACGGCAGCATTCTCTAAAATAATTTTTTCTGCTTCATCCATTACCTCTTTGTACCTCTCTTCTTTTCCTTTTTTCCTGTACTCATGTCCAAGAAGACACAAAAGATCCACGGTATGCACAGGTTGGATGCAAGAGTGAAAAGTTTTCAGTAACCTCTCAAGAATGTTAGTGTAAGACTGTGGAAGAAGGCACCTTTCTAAATACATCCACTTCTGTGGAAAACTGTCTAAAAAGGGTTCACAGCCGTTCACGATCTCTGGATCTTGTTCTTCTCTACCTTGAGCGTAAATTTGAAGAAAGTATTCAAAATTGTAACTG